CGTGCAGTGTATAGGTAAGCGAACAGGTTGGCGGAGTGTTACCCCCGTGGCCCGAGCAAGCCAGCTAAGAAAATAAGTTCGAGTATTGTGTAATTGTCATTATTAGTGCTATGCTTCTATTATTACCATCATAATTACTGTTTTTATTGTCATTACTGTTTTGCTGTTGGTATTGATGGTCATGGGCGTGATGATGCCTATCAGGATGATGAGGATGAAGATGGTGATGAAATGATGATGACAATGGTGATTCTGATGATGATGTTCGCCAGTATGAACTTGCACTATGATTGATTGAAATGCCGCTGTTCTAAGAACATGACGATGATTTTTTGTTAGCATGGCAAATAATACCGTCTTGAACATTGCAACGGTCATTGTTGTTAGTGTCATTGTTATTGATATTGTCTTCATCTTTAGTGTAATGAATTTAAGCATCATTGACATTACTGTTATTGTTTCTTTTGCATTGCTAGTACTATTAGTACTATTAGTCCTACCGTCAAGGGCCCTGCCAACAGTTTGCGATTCTGGGTAAGAGACTTTCGGGCAAACAGCCACTGCTTGAAGTTGGAGGGGCTTCGAGAGAACTCACTCCTTCTAGGGTTTTCCAACAGTCTGACCGATTTGGGTTGGGTTTTCCTGAAACGCTAGCTCCTTGAGGGTCTGGTGTTTTGCCAAACCCTTTCAGGGTTTGGGCATTGTTGCCGGTCTAGACACTTAGGGGTTGGGGGTCTCGGAATGAATGGATTATTTCACAGAAACCGAAATCCTCAAGCAGTTAGACTGTTGACAAGCCCTAGGTGGAGTGAGTTATTCCCGAACGCGCACAGTCCTAAGCCTTGAAGGAGCGCAAAATTCGACAGGGACGCAACTTGCACAAAACAACACCGGCTTCGCTTGCAATGTCCCAAACTCTCGAGAAACCGCTCCGGCCATACATTTCGAGATGTGCGACGGTTAGTATTATATATACCTTTTTTCTTAGCACTGGTTGTGTTGTTTTTGTTTTCAACTTGTTGTTACTACAACAATGATTATTGGTTCGTTTATTGCCGCTTGTATTACCTAATGTTAATGGCGTATTGTTATGGTTATCGATATTGATATGGGTAAACAACATCATTAATATTACTATGGTTGGCATGGGTGTTTTTACTGCTGCAACAAAAGTCATGGTGATCATATGTCGTCTTTCAGTGATATCACTTCATTTCGGGTCTTACACGTAGAATCGTCATGTGTGCTGGCATCCACCCCGTCCATTGCCTCAGTGAAAATAATAAGACTAAGGATAGCAATAATTATCGTTACTATTATTTGTGACTTTGTATTTTTTTATTACTGCCAACATCTTAGTCATAATACTGTTGTGAGTATTGCTATGAATTACTGCTGCTGGGAATAACTCTGTTTTCTTAGTTACTATGGAAAATTGCTACAATAGGTGTGTTTTGGTGTTTTTCTGGTTCGAAGTACAAATGCAATAATTGCTACTGTCATTGCGGTTGTCCTAGTTGCTCTTGTTGCTATCAGATTGACCATGAACGTTTGTCTTTGCCTGTGTGCAGGATTCCATACTTCTGTCGTCCGGCCATGTCCCTGGCTTTTCGCTGCTGAATGAAGCGTCCGGGGATGTTTTGAATGAGGGTTTTCCATTCTAATGAGGTCATTGCCTGCAAGATGGGAGTGACTCAACACTCAGCAGACGTCCTTCGGTCTTGCAGATCCCTGGAATCGAAGAAGTAACCGGCTTCTGAGGTGGCAACGTGTACGGCCAGCGTTTGCCCCACACTCTGGGCGGACGCTTCAGCTGGGCTGGTCAGCGTTACGTTGAGCGCAGCGTGCGCCCGAGCCTCAGGCAGCTTCGGGTTTACGGCCCCATGGCAAGCCCCAAATGTTGGAAGACACGCAGCCCCCAAAGCCAATCCTGCCCTGCACCCTAACTTTAAGAGTTCCAATGTCGCTGTCGGCCGAGGCTTGTCAACGCTGACTGATGTCATGTTGAGTGGGAACGAGGGTGTCGGAAGCTCGGCTAGAATCGTCTTGCCTTGCGGTCACCTCCACTGCAATCGTAGTTCTTTGTTACGGAAGGGTTCTTGCAGAAGACTGCTACTCACTGCTTCTCTCTTCGCTGTTTGTTGTTTCTTGGTGCTGGGATATGGGCAAGCTCAAGGTCATGTGAAGCTTTTTTGTCGGCTTCTTGCAGCAGGAGATCGTTGAACTCTAATGGCTTTCGGGCACAAGCCAAGGTAATTTCAAAAAGCCAAAGTTCTCCATGTGAAAACCCTGTGTTGACAGCTTTTATGGTGTTGGGGAAATGATAGCCTTCTGCTCTTGCTGTTTGATGGTCGCCGTCATGGACGGCTTCCTCATCATGGTCGTCGGTGTTGGTCGTCTTCGTAGACGTATCATCATCATCGCCATCAAGCGACAGTCTAAGCACTTTCCCAGTGCTTGTCGAAACCCTAAACCCCAAACCCTATGTCGGCGTGCTGACCAATTGCCTCGACATTGACTGCTTTCGGTTGTGGCAAAATGCCATAGCACTCATGAATTATGAATTACCAATTAGGGCTGCAGACAATCTATGCTTCTTGCTCACTTTGCATGGCTCACTCCAAGAGGTTTGGCGCGCAGAGAGAACAGCAGTATGCAGTATGACAGCGGGTCAAAGACGTAGTAAGGTGTGGCAGTCAAAGGGGCCACAAGCTACCCAGTCATCACTGTTCGGCACAGCCGTCGGGTAGTCGACCAACCCTTACGCACATCCCTACGCCAGAGGTCCACTGCGGTTCACTCATACAGTCAGGTGTGTATCACTCTCAGCACTGAAAAAGGCAAAAGACCACCACACTCTGGCAACTTCTCAACCGATGTATCGGCTGCCCCATTGGTTCCAACCAGAGTGTCAAGACAGGGATTTTGCCGCTGGCGTAGTTTGTCAAGGCATCGCTTCACAGCAACACTCCAGTAGAAAGCTGTAGGCACTTGCGCTCCAGCTGCCCACACTCAAAAAGGGGCGTAGAGTGTCAAAGACTGGGATGTTGTTGGTGCAGCTTGTCAACGCATCGCTTGGCAGCAACACTCCAACAAAAAGCTGTAGGCATATTCCGGCTGTCCACGACCAAACCAGAATATCAGAACAGCTACCATTGAGTTGTCTTGCGTTCCAGCTGGCATCACTCAAAAAGGGGCATAAAGCAGCAACCAGACGAGGTCGGAGCATCGATTTGAGGAGTGCTGCCATGGCGGGAAAACGTGTATTTCACCCAAGAAGGTAAACCTGAAAAGAAACCCCAAACCCAAAACACTGGTCCATAGAAACTTGGCACATGAGCTCCCTGAAGCAGAGCATCGGAGCAGTGGAAAAGGAAGGGACGCCGGACGGTTGGGGTAGGAGTGCAGCAGGTGTAAGACTGGGCGGTGGACTCGTGTGCGGCAACCTTTTTTGTTCGGTTTTTTGGTTTTTTGCGGTGCCACGATGGTGACGACGAGACCACGCGCGGGTGAAGTGCCAGTTTCCCTGTTGGTGGGTGGTTCCGTTCAGGTAAAGAGGTTCCCTACATCAGACCAGGAAAGCATGTAGGGCAGGAGACAGAGGGGTGCGAGGCAACGCGTCTTGCACGCGTAGTGCCGACTAGGGCAAAAAGTAGTTTCAGGGTGCAAAGGGAAGTATCGGTGTTGGGGTGTTCGAGTTTAGGGGATGAAACGACTCCAGATGGACCTGATGATGTTGGCATGAGTGTAAATTAGATGCAGAGAATTACGGATTAGAGGGTGATTATCAATTAAAGCACAGATGCAATGAGTCATCATGAACCTGATGATGTTGGCATGAGTTGAATGTACACGCACTGAATTACATCGGGGTTGCAAATACTCTCTTTCAGTTTGCTCACTTGTGGGAAGTCACATGTGCTTTGAATTGACTCCGTACGAGAGGTCGTTTTGTGCAGTGTCATTGTTGCCTGAACTGCCCTGCAATGCGGGCTCGTCCTTGCTAAGTGGGAGGGAAAAAAACCCTATGTCGAAACCCTAAACCCCTAGCACAGTCGAAGTATTGGCACTTTCTCAACCTCGCTAGTGGGCATAGATCCTCAGCCATGCGAGAGGGAAAAAAACCCCAACCCCTAAACCCCAAACCTCTAAACCCTAAACCCGAAACCCCTAAACCCCTAAGCCCCTAAACGCCCTAAACCCTAGGGAAAAAGCTCCAGGTCATCACCAAAAGGTGTCAGATCTTCGTGCCTTACTACGACAAGCAAGTGCCGTGGCATGAGTCTTGGCCTCAGATACACCAGGTCACCAGGTTTCCCAGTAGGACCCTATTTGCCCTTTGTCTTCCTAGGTTCCCTTACTTAAAACCAAGTAGTAGGAAAAAGGG